TCCAGGCTTTGAGAAATAAATGCGTACTATTTAAGCCACCCAGTCTACGGTATTTTGTTATAGCAGCTCAGCTAGTGCCCTTGGCTCCCTGGTAGCTATTCCCACCTCAGCCATCAGCTTCTCTCTTCTCTATGGAGAACTTTCTCTGGCCCTGCAGGAGCAGGGAGGCCTATTCAGAAGCGAAGGGGGAGCTGAAACCCTGGAGAAGCCTTCAACCAACGGGCCACAGGAGCTGGTGAGTAAATGCCCCAGACTCTCCTCCTAGCCTCAGGTAGTCACGTTCCAAGAGATACCTCACAGAGACCCCAGTGGGACTGCTGCCACACCAGGAACCCACTCATCAGCATGCACCAGACTGTTTTCTCTCTCTCTTCCCTGCTCCCTCCCCCCTGCTCCCTTGAGCTCCCAGATAACCCCCCTGTGCCCAGGTGCTTGTCTCAGCCCTGCCATTGCAGCACTCAAACTAAGACAAGACGTTCTACGGAACTCATCATTCGGGAGAGGAAGCACTCTTCACAATGACCACAGCTACTTCCTTCTTTTCAGTCAAACTGTTCCAGGTAATAGCAGATGACACTGGCTCCGTGGGCCTTTGAGAAGTTCCAGGACAAATAATGGCATTTCTAATACATGTTCGAGGGGAAACACTCAAGACCCAAAATAGAAGCCTTCAAACCAACACATCAGGAATCAGAGCAAAGAGTCTCCTGACTTCTTTCAAACGGGGGTTACTTGTAACAAGTTTAAATTCTGTGGATAATAAATTAGGAGGCTCTAGTATGTCCCTGCAAATGCCATTGAGTTTTCTACAAGTGCAAAATGGACATATGTCTTTGAGATCCTTCCCGTGGCTAAAAATCCTACATTGAAGTGATTGCATCTCTTGCAAGGACGACCCACTGGAGACACCTCCTTAACTCTAAACAGGACTTCACTTAACTGCTTTTCAGCACAATCAGATGGAAATTTCGAGATTCTAAAACCAGTTAAAGTCTCACCACTGCTCCGTCTCAAATGCCACATCTGGATACGGCTGTCATGCTCTCAGCCCCCTACACGAGGGGAAGGACCCTCCACGTTCTGGACCCCAGCTGGTGAGTCTCGCTCAGTGGTAATGGGGTGAGGGTTGGGCAGGTGGGAGACAGAGAGGGCACTGCTCAGGGCTCATTCTCAACGTGCTCCTGGACCGCCCATGCACAAGCAGTGAGTTCAGTCTTATATTAGACTCATTACCTACCTCACCCTCATATCCCAAACCTGCTCTCATACCTGAATTCCTTGTCTTGGGTAATTCTCCACACCCTCCTCCCCTGGCTCATGACATGGAGCCTCGAGGTCAGCCTCAGTCACCCAGTTTCACTGCCTCCACAGGCCTCTCGAACACCAAGAGGTTAATAGTGGCTGTTCCAGGGTGATGGAATTTTTCCTTTTGTCCCTACTTTTACTTATTTTCTGAATTATCTCTGATGAACACATTAGTTTCATAACGTTTAGTATGTTTCATAATAATTAATAGTTTCATAATGGGTTATAATCCTAAATATAAATCTATCTTGATCCCTCCTGGCCTTCCTAACAGATCCTGACTTACGGTCTCCCCTCTCACTTGGAACACCTTTCACATCACAACCAGACTCTTCTTTCTGAACCCGGAGCTTCATTCCTTCCCTCCCCCTCATCAAAACATTTCTCTGGGATGGTGCCCGACCTCCTCCACCCAGAGGGTCCCCCAAATACATCAGAATCACCAGGGGGTGTATGTACGTTTACTTGTTTTTTTCTGCTCCCCCATTATACTGTCATCATTGTTCATACTGAATCCCCAATGCCTGGCACAAAGCAAGGGTTCAATAAATATTAATTATTAATGAAATGCATGGAAGGAAGGAAGTTAAGTAACTGGCTTACCATAGGGAAATTCTACAGCAGTGGTTCTCAATGTATGCTCGGGGGCCACCAGGAGGCGCATCATGGGGAACTTGCTAGAAATGCAGATTCTTGGGCCTCACCTCAGAATCAGAAACTCTAGCGACATTTGAACAAGCCCGTTACGTGATTTTTAAAATTTTTTTAAAACATTTATTCATTTTTAATGAGAGAGACAGAGCATGGGTGGGGGAGGGGCAGAGAGAGAGGGAGACACAGAATCTGAAGCAGGTTCCAGGCTCTGAGCTGTCAGCACAGAGCCAGACCTGGGGGGCTCCAACTCAGGAACCGCGAGATCGTGACCTGAGCTGAAGTCTGACGCTTAACCGACCGAGCCACCCAGACGCCCCTCCATGATTCTGTTTTATAACAAGTTTATGTTCCCAGAAATGTCTTGGCCACGGTCAGGAATAAAACTAGTCTCTCCAACTGAACTACACAACCTTCGCAGCAGACTCGTGGGAAAACATTTTATCTGCTGCCTTTTCAGAAACGTTTCCTTTAGGTTGCAGAAATACTGCAGCGTCTAGAGTTTAGAAAGGGGGGGGG